AACGTGAAAATAACTCTGTTTGTTAATTTTTCACGCTTAAACCGCTCTTAACAGATTTCGATGGCAAGGACATTAATTGCATCCTGGCAACGGACATAGGCTACCTTTGGTCTCCGCCTCATTTACCACGAGTGAAGCTGCGGGAACACACTAGTTATTAAATAAATAATATATATCTGTTTGTTTATTAGACTATCAGTATATCAGTCAAAGTTTATTGCCATTATTATATAGCATATTCCATGTTTTCCTGCAACATTATCTGGGTACCAGCGTCAGTTCCACGAAAAATAATTCCCAGAAAAAACCGTCAACACATTTATTTATCTCTACCGATGAAACGCTTGTCACGTCTGTCTGTGATTCATGGATAGATTCAAATGAATCCGATACGATTTAACATCACATCTTACAACATTATGATAGTAGCTCTACACTGCTCTTATTTTCTTCCTGGTTTTGAATGATGAAGCAGCAGTATAAATATTTTTTTTTAATATTTAACCTGGAATCGTATTAAGACTTATCTCAATTCCAGCTTTTTTGACATTTATACATCAATTTTATTACTTTTTACTGATTTCAAGAAAGGCGGAAATTTTCAATTTGTTCTATTCGAAATATTTGTACCAGTTGTAAAACTTTAGTTATCTTTCGATCTATATACCTAGTGTCCCGAAACAGGCGAAAATTAGTAAATAAATAATGATCTGAATTTAAAAAATATTTCAATGTATTGTTGCTACCCTTCGAAAACGTTATACCACCGTTGTCGAAAACAAACAAAAATCCATTTTTTAGGATAAGGTAAAAACTAACACACATATACATACACATAGGCAGTGGTAGCACAACTGAAACCGCGTGAAGCGGGTTCAAATCCCGGGTCTTGCACCTCTGATATATTCATGTGCGAATCATTTCCAACATGAAAGTACTTGTCTTAACGGTGAAGGAAAACATCACAAGGAAACCTGCTTGTCTGAAAGAACCTAGCCAATTTTGAAACACGTGAGATCCGCCTACCCGCCCTCGGCCAGCGTGGTGGACTATGGCCTGATCCCCCTCATATTGAAGGCAAGCCCATGTCTAGCAATGGGACTTTAAAAAGGGCTAAATACAAAGACTAGCAATATCAATATAAAAAAAGTAAAAGAAATCGCACCTCGAGTATAAATTCAAAATTTTGCATGTTTACGTATGTATACTTGTTACTCTTTTAAGCTAAAACGGCTGGACAGATTTGGAAGTAATCATTCTACTAATAAGCATCTACTCAAGGGATACCTTTTTTTTTTTTTTTAACGTTGGGAAATGCATTTACGCACGACGTGTGGGACTCACCGGCGTAATACAGCCAGTACTACCCACTAAAACCCAACAAAACCTTCCCTCGTCTTAATGGGGCGTCGCAGGATCGCTTACGCATTCAACTACGACGCCCCGACGGCAGGTCCGCCGAAGCAGACCACCACAACCATGGGGTTGCTCCACAGTCCACTCTGCTATCAGAGAAGTACCAGGAGCAACCCGCATGGTACACCGCCCCCCGAAGAGGGCCACCTCCCACCGCCCACCGAAGTGGGCAACCTCCCTGTGCGTTTCTTGGCTTCGCGCCCAGTTGGATTGCCGGGCACTACTGAGCCCCCCCACCACGACAAGGTGAACGCACGTTGGGGGGGACTCAAGGGATACCTAGGCGAAGCTAGGCTAAGTCACTAGTTAAAAAAGATTTCCCTTTGCGAAGCTATCACGTAATACACAAACAAAATCGTACATCCAAAGTGGAAACCTCATGAGAATTACCTCGCGCAAAGAATTCGACCGTATCTGTTGTGAGTCAGCCTAACTGCCTCTAACCCTTTTAGGGGCAGTTATAATAACATACATATATAGAACATACATATATATTATATTGCGTATATAATATATATGTATGGTACATGTATTATTATATGTAAAGGAAAATAACTATAATGCGCAACAATTACGTCTGAATCATCATTTTTTATAATTGTTGGCAGTAGTTACGCGGACGTCTAATATGATCTTCAAGAGAGAATAGGATCATTAATTATGTTTAGTAACTAGGAAAAACTTTTAACGCGAATTTGTTTAAATTATAATGACAAATGAAAAAGCTCGCGATCTTGAAATATTATGTAAGGTGTATTTTTAAAAGCTTTCTTGTCTTTCCATGTCTTGTAACCTTGATGATATATTTCTAAAATGGAGGACGTTGCCAATTGGGGTGTATAACATACGCAATATCTTTTGATTTACTTTAATATGATCATAATTCTACCGTCTAAAGAAATTCAACCTCTAAGGTAGTAGAAATAACTTTATTTTATAATATTATGTATAACATTTTCTTTAATGTGGACATGATTTTTTTCATACAAGTAGTGTATCTCAGTGGGTAATATGGCCACTTTATATCCCACGAAAAAGCTACTAATAAACACCAATAAGTTGACCGAGGATGACTGACTGCATAAACTAGGGTCGCCCGATCGATTCCCACACGATTTATCTTGATATATCATTCGACACAAATCATATTCTCATTATTTCATCCTGTTCAAGCTTGCATTATTTATACATAAGTTTACGCAAACTCGAAAAAGACCCACTTATATATTTTATAACATCGAAACTGTATATACATACAGCATATGTCTGTCTGTATGTCTGTCAATATAAATCAATTATATTAATAACAAAAGTGTTATAATCGTACACACGTCTCGCTCTAAAAAAAATTGAACATGGCATTAGTTTTGAGCTAAAAAGAAACGTAGACGGAGCTGTATGTATGAAGTAGAGATGCTTAAATATATAAGATAGATATAATAATTATATCCGTATCTAGATATTGAAACCCGAGTCTGCAGTCAATTTTACCGCACGCTCGGCCAGCTATCATCCAACCGATTGATTCTACCACAAATTAATCGGACGGAAACCTAGCTTCGATTTCAGTTATCTTTGACTACATTTGGCAGGTAATTGTATACATGAGTACGAATACGTATCGAATGTTTTAAACGGTAAAAATGTGGGCGGTTTTAGTAAAGTTTTTAAACCAAAAAACAGAACTATATCTAGTAACAAAGCTTCATGTGTGGTGAAGATTTTAGCGACCAATGTAGAAATTTACTAAGCCATCTCTTGATTTCATCATCAGTTCAGCTTTGCAGCAGAAACTATTGCATATTCAGATTACACATACGAAGTTTCTAATCAATACGATAATTATACCTGATTTCATTTTCCAAGATATGACAAGCTACAAGTAAAGTTAGCAAAAGCATATAAAAAAATTATAAAAACTTACTCCTATTTTAAAGGATTAATATTATGCTTAGTAAAACAGACATAAAAACTGCTATCACTTTTGGGTGATCTGTCACTTTATACTCATATATGTGAGAACGGGATACATAGTAATATCATTTAACGTGTGCGGGATTCGAACCTAAACTTTGAAAGTAATTATCAAAGCAGAAACACAAGTAGAAGTAGTAGAAGTACGAAACGTTGGAAAATAAAAATCTAAATAATTCCGCGAAAAATCCGAAAAGATAGTTTTATTTAAAATAGTCGTATGACCTTCATATTTTAGTAAAATATAAAAAGTATGATGAATACATATATAATGTACAGTTGAACCCGATTCCGTAACGAGTTACAAATTACAGGACCATGTTAAGATGTTTTTTCCTAACAATTTTGTTGAAAATCCCATGCAACAGGTAAGCTAACAGCAAGTAGAGAAACAAAAACTTTCAAAGTAAATTTTATAACGTATTCTGTAAAAATATCTCAGAAAATTAAGTTCCTATTTTAGTGTAGTATTATAAAGAATCATAGTCTTCAAAATTCAGACATCTCATCTAATCCCTTACTGGTTGGCGCGAACCGCGTCCGACGCAAATATTTACGGGGAGCCACATCTGAGGTCAATTTTCCTACACTCTACAACCAAAATATCCTAAAAACCTAAAGAATTTGATGCAAAATTGAACTCTACACCAACACAATAGAGTTTATAACGCAAAATGCATTTCATAGTCATAAAATTGAGAAGGATATCGCATCAACGTCGAAAAATGTGATTTATCCGAAGGTATTAAGGTACAATCCAGAGTATGATCGGTGCAAATTCGCTTACGACCAAAAAAAACTAACTAACAGACACATTGCAAAGTAACTTCGACTTAAAAATTATATAAATAAAGTTCAAATTGCTTTGATTCTCACAGCTATAAGTGCAGTGCACTTTACCCGTTCAGTGATGCACCTCGCATGGAGACCGATTTATAGATATAATAAATATATGGGTGTTTAACATCCTAGATTATCTATATGTATTAGGGAACTGTTTTATGTCGGATTTAGACTGTGAAGTATGGAGCATTTTTATTTATAACAGAACATTTGAAGCTTTGGTTATGTTTTCGAATAGCTTTCTAATTATAAATGCTTACTACTTACTATATTATAATTGCTAATTTATCTTTATGTGTCCATGATATATGTATGTATATATATGATGTTCTACGTATTTTTCTATTTCTAGGACAGAGAGAGTTTGGCTGCCTCTTATATCAAATTATGGACGATGTAAACTGATTAGGGACGCTATTTAGGTTTTTCTATATTAAATTTCTTTTATTTAGGCAATGGTAGCCCAGCGGTAACGTGCTCGCTTGGAAAATCAAGTTTCAAATCCCGGGTGTCGTACCTATGATATTTTCATGTGCGAATCATTTCTAACATGATTAGCACTTGTCTTACGGTGAAGGAAGAAATTGTGAGGACACCTGCACGCATTTAGCCGGCGTGGTGGACTACGGCCTGATCCTCCTCGTATTGAAGGGAGGCCCGCGCCCAACTGTGGGATGTTAAAAAGGGCTGAATACATATAGTATAAATTTCTTTACCCAAAAGATTATTATTTTACCCATAATATTCGTAAATAAACCATACAGTCAATTGGTTGTTATAACCAATACGCTGTTGCTAATGAGTAATGTGCAGCCATGCTTAGTTTTATCTGATAGGGTCTCCAAAAGTCTGGAGATCAGGTCAGAGTTAGAATCTGCTGGAACTCTGAAGAGCATATAGGCATATAAATAAAACTATTAACTGCCTCGGTGGTGTAGTGGCTAGCAAGTACGGCTGCACACTCGGAGGTCCTGGGTTCGAGTCCCGGGTCGGGCCAAGTTTAGTTATTGAGTCTTTCTGTATAGTAAGTCTCAGTAAAAGCCCGGAGTTGGGAAGTTGGCGGTGTTTCATCCCCGTGCCTCGGAGAGCACGTAAAACCGTCGGTCCTGCGCCTTAACTCTCACCGGTCGTGTCGAGCAGTCGTCCCACCGGAGTATGAGAGTGACAGGAATAGAGAGTGCACTTGTGTCTGCGCGTACACTTGTGCACTATAATATCTCCTGCGCAGTTGGCTAGTCTCAATGAGATTGGCCGCCGTAGCCGGAATCGGCCAGGAGAACATCATCACCATCATAAATAAAATACAAACTAATTCCATACTTGTTTTTGAGAATTCGTTGACATAAAAACCTAAATATTTGTATTTTTTTCTTAAAGTATTCACGAACTTGTAATTTTTATCAGTTAAAAGAGTTTTTATGGATCAAGTCGTAGTTTTTTTTACTGAAGTAGTGATGAAATTTGAATTTAGTGATTTTTATGATCAATTTTTATGTTTATCAAAGCTTTAAACTTTTATGTCATGATAAAGCGTAGGCTTTAATTAACATTGATATGCTTTGATTAAAAAAGAAGTTTTAAAACTTCTACACTTTTATTTTTATTTTTATATTTCAACTTTTTGTTGAATTTTGCGAAGTATTTGGATACCAATAAAGACTTAACACTCATTAAAGTTAATAATATAAATATAAACTCTTTAAAAAGAAGATTTTTTTAGTAAAATTAGCTTATTTGACATTCCACTTGGCAGTCTATCGCTTTCCTAAATTTCATCCAAATTGTTTTAGCACCAGTTCCAACCTAAAGGAGTAACAAACATATAGACTATAATATCAGTCTACTTTAAAAATACATTTTTAGTATTTTCTTTTACTCATTTAAGCTCTATTTATTTTCCTGTTATGGCCATATAAAAGCATACTAACACCTATCAAAGGAAGCTTCTAGTAATTTATCATCTTCGCTAGTAAAACTTACTCGTTTTTTTTTTAAATATTTAAATGTTCATGTCTGTATGTGAAGGTGTTTGTAAAACAATATTAGAATAATTTGAGTATTATTAGATATTTTCATTTTTTTTAATTAAAAATAAGGCACTGACTACTGTAATTCAATTCAATTCTATTATTTGATTGCTTCTTGGAGTGCCATTTTACGTCATTCTTTCAAAAACACTATATTTATCCAATCCATTAGCTTACTATACTGTAAATGGGAAAGTGTATGTGAGTGCGTATGTGGCTGGAAACGACTGGGCCGATTTGGATGAAATTGACCATGACCTGAATATATAATAAGTCAGTTAGTTAGTAATTAAGTCTATAGTATATATACTAAATACTATGTTTATGATGTATCTATCTGTATATAAATATTATAAATGTGAGAGTTTGTGAGTATGGATGTTTGTTAATCTTTCACGCCAGAACCACTGAACCGATCTGGATGAAATTTGAGAGACAGATTATAGTCTGGAATAACGCATAAGCTACTTTTAATCTTGGAAAAATATACGGTTCCCGTGGGATAGGTTTGTATTTGTACCCGAGGGAAGCGAGGGTTAGCCGCAAGTAAATATTTTTTTTTCAATTTAATTAATCGATCCTACTACCTTCTCTAAAAAAACCTGTTAGACTTCAATAAAATTCGTTTCCATACATATTTTCTATTATTCTACGTAAGAGTATGTGCGAAAGTTGGTGTATGCAGGGAGCACTCAATGCAAGGTGATTTCGAAATCGCATGCTGGCATAATGCAAATAGCTGAATGTATACAAAATTTGTTTACGATCGCAGCTCGGTTATATCTGGACTCAGTCTACCAAAACCCGTGCAAATTAAATGAAATTCTGGAAACCTTGTTTGTGTATTTGTTTGGTTGTTTTTGTATAGGTCTTGAAGTCATTAGTATCTTTGCGTAAGTTAGTTTAACTAAAATAAAATATTGACATTATCTTGTTTAAATTTGTACAAATAAAGATAGTGTTGTTACATAATGAGTTTTCTGGTGATTTTCGACAATTTTGTGTTTAAATGGAATTAAAATTCTGGTTAAATTTAAAAAAATCGATGTCGATCTTAGTAATTTTTTGATCAGTAGTGCCTGTTATGACATGATTCACAGGTTCGATTACTGTGAGTTAATATTTCTAGTTCTTCGATTTCTTTCTAATAACTAACAATCATGCCACAATTTATTCAATTATCTGACGCATTCTTTATGGAAATGTACGCAAATATAATGTATTTTCTTAAAACGCGTGAGAATAAGATTATGTTATAAAAAATAATTTTAATATTACGCTAGCGACTCACCCTTGCTTCGCTCGGGTTTGTCCCTAGATATGTTTAACGGTTAGTCTGGAATAGATAGTTTATATATTAATAGATAGATATGCATGATGAGTTTTATATCCCTTACTTGCCAAAATTGATTGTGTGATTGATTCCCCATACTAACTTTCATCCCCCTCTTCCACCCCCTTAAAGGATAAGTTCCGGGATAAAAATATTCTATGTCCTTCCCAGGGTCACAAACTGTCTTCATACCAAATTTTCATAAAAAAATCATCTAAATTGGTTCAAAGAATTTTTAGTTTATCTATTACAAACAAACATACATTTTTTTTTCTCTTTATAATATTAGTATAGATAGGTCATACGCCTACAGCTTCATTTCTAAATGCTTCATTTCTAAGCAGATACTATAGTTTATTCACTCGTGAATACCGTTGCTAGTGCATTGAACTTCGACCTTCGTGGTCGATAGTGGCAAAATAAATGACTGAATCGGTATGATTTTGAGCCTGTATCGGTCACAGGTTCAGTGAAGGGTAGAAGTAATTTTTTGCCACTAGGCTTAGACGAGACAACACTACATTCGCTACTTTTCATAGGAAACTAAACTTGGTCATGTACGAGTTGGAATTGTTCACCAATGGTTTTGTACTACCATAAAATATATTTAGACTACATATTATTTACCATTAAGTAAAATATTTCGAAAAGCGGAAATCGTTTTTTTTTTTAATTAATATATCTCTGTTTCTACATGTGATTTTAATTATAAAAGTTTTTACTTAGAAAAGCATAGAAATATTACATTAAAAACGATTTCCAATTACAAGTGAAGCTTGTAGTAAAAGCTTATTAAAATGTGTCAGTTCCAAGGAAACTTAGCCAAAATTCACAAGAGACTGTCTATCGATTTCATGAATACGAACGAATTTGTGGTATCTACAACATAAATATAAATAATATGTAACAGTCACTATGTTGGTTGGTTAGTCTATGAATTGATGTGATTTTTCCATAAAGATACGTAAAAAAAAACAATTTTATAATGCCTTTGAGGGAATAGAACCTACGACCTCTATAACTAGATACTTTCAATTCACAAATTCATACAAAAAAACATTTATAGCTACCTATCGAGCAATATTTTAAAACATTATAATTTTTTTTACATAAATAAAACTTTGAAAATGAAAACATTTTGAGTGAGCCCACGCCTTCTAGCTTTTACCCGTGTATATTTCTGGGGTACGTGATATTGTACAATTTAGGCAATTAAGGTTTATATACTTGAGTTTAGTACTGAGGGTATCATTTATAAGCACGTTTATATTTGACATCCCATTAGACGAAAGTTTCAAAAAAAGGTTTGCAATATCACCTGCCACGCTTTTTTATTATTTTCACCCGTAATTTTTGACGTAATTTCATTTCATATTACAGCAATAGTCAAGAGATAGTTTTATCGCAAATAAAATGCTAGCTATGTGAAAAAAACGTCTAATAAGTGTTGTGGCTAAAATGGCCACAACACGAAATTCGCGTTGTGGCTCTCATCATTTTTGGGTACAAAGTGATGTGGCTTACAATAAATGCCACGATGCGTTTTGAATACTACCATAATAAATTTTTTGACCAAATTTACGTAAAACACTTAGTAATCTTGTATTGTAATACAACAATTGAAAAATATTGTGGTATTTTGGAAAGATAAGTACATATATATATATATATATATATATATGTATCTTATATATAAGATACATACACAAAGTTAGGGAGACTCGCTAATTTTGAAAAATTACAAATTAAAGATTAAATGATTTTTTCATGTAGTTGCACAGACAAATCCGAAAACCACAGCTAGTTTTCCTCAATATTTATTATTAATACATTTATGTTACTAGTGCAGTCATTCAATTATTCCCCTATATGAATTTAATATTGTAATGGCTTCAAAATAGCTTATTATTATTTTATTTGGACGGAACAAGTTGTAAATTTGAAGCGGAATTAATACGTAATTTTTTTTAAATTTACGGAATTGTGTGCATCAAACTGTTAAAATTTTTGTTACTTTATAAAATATATGTAGGTCATAAGAAATTCTACTAAAAAAATTTAGCATAACAATACAAAATTTTTGTAAATCGCCAGAATAATATTTTTTTAAGATTATTGTATGAAGTATTCTAAAACTGCAATGAATATTAATAATTCATATTTGAATAGAGTTACAGTAAAGGATAAACTAAATAAAAAAAATACCCCAAAAAATAGCATTTTTGAGGAGAAATAAATTAATATGGTAACTTTGTTTTTATACATTTTGAGAATATTTATGGTAGGTACACCATGATAAAGTTTATCCACATATTATAGTAAAACTATCGACTCGCCCTCCCTTCGCTCGGGTTCGTCCCTAGTTTGATTTGTTTTTGAGTTTAGTCGTTACAATAATATTAGTTATAATATTAGTGTAGATAAACAAAAAAAAAGCTGGATAATTTATAATACGCATATAGATAAAACAAGTCAAACATTAAATAAGTGATGATCTAACAAGACGAATAATGTTTATATGTAATGATCTATGAGCTTATTGATTCTATGATTTTGCATGACAAATGCATCGTGATGATACTATTAGTGATGTTCTCCTAGCCGATTCCGGCTACAGCGGCCAATCTCATTGAGACTAGCCAACTGCGTAGGATATTATAGTGCACAAGTGTACGTGCAGACACAAGTGCACTCTCTATCCTGTCACTTATTATATTACTATATAACTATACAACTATACTACTTATACTCCAGTGGGACGACCGCGCGACACGACCAGTGAGAGTTAAGGTGCAGGACCGACGGCTTTACGTGCTCTCCGAGGCACGGGTATGAAACACCGCCAGCTTCCCAGCTCCGGGCTGTTACTGAGACTTACTATACAGAAAGACTCAACAACTAAACTAGGCCCGACCCGGAACTCGA